TTTTTGACAGCCGATGCCGATATCTTGGAAAGCAGGGTGGCCAATGGCCGATATAATTTTATTTATTTTAATTAATATTTAAGAAATTTAAAAATAATTTGAAAATGGATTAAAAAATAAATGTGTTAAATAAACATACTTATACTTTAGATGACAAAATATTTTTCACAAATAAATAAATATTTAATAAAAATATAACTAAAAAGGAAGTAAACTGTAACAACAGGGCACTCAGTATTCTGGGAAGTTTGTGTGCATTGGGAATCATATTTTTTCAAATAAAGCCAAGGTAACACTCATTTTACACACAGCACACAGTGAAAAATGGCATGAATATGGCAGTGGGCAAATGCATAAAGCGCAGCATAGTTTGAATTAATTTGGCAATATATCGGTCGACCACTAGACATGATTATGGCCTTGTTTGGTATGAATACAAAAAGTTACATTTAGTCATTTAGCAGATGCTTTTATCCGAAGCGGCTTAGAGTAGGGCTGTCATTTAGGCTGACGTGCATTTTTAGTTTAAAATAATCACCAGTGTAGAAACAATGAAACTATTCAATAAAGAAAAAAAAGGTTATTTTGTTGTGAAAGTGCATGATATTCTAGGCTGCCCATTTTTTTAGTGTACATATAGTTAATATAGTTATTGTAGCAATACCCCCCCGGGATATGTGCCAGCCCACCCTTCTATCGCTGTCAAGAGGCCTCACCCGGAGCGCAGCGCGGTGACGATGCACTCGGAGCAGAAGCGATGCAGACACTCTTTGGTGGTCATGGTGTTCTTCAGCATGTCCAGACAGATGGGACACATCAGCTCGCTGTGGAGGCTTCTGGGAGACACGTCGATCTCCGTGCTGTCCATGATCGCCTCCTGAAACAACAGCGCACATGACCACACGCTTCAAACTGCAGAGCAGCACCTGTGAGTGTGTTATAGTGAGTGTCTGTGTGTGTTATAGTGAGTGTCTGAGTGTGTGTGTGTGTGTGTCTGAGTGTGTTATAGTGAGTGTGTGTGTGTGTGTGAGTGTGTTATAGTGTGTTATAGTGAGTGTCTGAGAGAGTGTGTGTGTATGTGTGTGTGTTATAGTGAGTGTCTGAGTGTGAGTGTGTGTGTGTGTATGTTATAGTGAGTGTCTGTGTGTGTGTGTGTGTGAGTGTGTGTGTGTACCTGTGGCGTTCGGTGGAGTTCGTACAAACTCAGCTCCCATGTCTTACTGAGGGTCTGAACACTGACTGGATTCGCCATCATGACTTCACTGAGAACTGAAGCAGAACACACACACATGCAAACTTCAGCAGACACTCAAACTCACATGAAATCCTAAACATGCACAAAAAAAACCGAGTTCATGAAACAACCTTTACTACATAATCATTCTCTCCAGCAAACCGGGTTTTAAAAGTTTTATAAACCAATGAACTATTATTATTATTACATGCATATTTTGCCTGCGTAGTATCACAGTATCGCATGTTTACAATTACGGCTGCTTAAAACATGGTAATACTACAGCTCTCTTGTGTTAGTGTAATCCACTGGTGATGAAGATCTGAAGAATGAATAAAGAGCATCGCTCACACTCGGATGTCAGACTGTCATCTGCTGCTCATCTTTCTCAGCACACGCGACAAAAAAACCGTCCTAAAATCCAAACATCCTCAAACCGGATGTTGTTGTCTGTGGAGTCACCCCTCACTTCCTGCCCGATGCCCCCTGGCGGCCAAGTGCACAATTGCACATCTCAAAAGCAAGCGTCTTACGTTGCAAACACCTTTGCCATAATATTATATTTTGGGATATATCATATACACATAGTTGTTCAAAACCCAAAGCTCTTCTTTCATGAGCTCCTGTGTACATTACTGTACAAGACTGAAAGAAATTGGCAGAGAGATGTTGAAAAATTCACAGTAAACACGAAAGCAAGACTTTTTTTTTTTTTTTTTTTTTTTACTGTAAGCATTTGTGGTTGTGAATACAGTATTACACAGTACAAAAGAAAATAAATACATTGCTAGCATCCATAGTGTCATGATCTCCAGTTGGAGTGCCCATGAGCTCCTCTAGAGCAGTGAATCTCAACCTTTTGGCGTACCGGACCGGATGTCATGTCACAAAAATTCATACTTAATACGGACCCCCTGGCCTTACGTCAAGGACCACTAGGGGTCCACGGACCCCTGGTTGAGAAACACTGCTCTAGAGGGCACTCCATTCTGTACCTTGCCATTCACTCAGGACTCCATTTTCCATAATCCTTTGCCCGGACTCAACAAGTGCATCACCTGTCTCTCATCAGACCTCATCATCAGTTCACAGCTGTCTCACATTAGTAGGACTATAAGAATAGCACACACTCTCTCTGTCATCGCTGGTAATTGAATGTTGTATAGCTCTTCAGTGGTTTCTAAGTTTCCGTGTTTCTAGTTTCTCTGTTTCCTTGCCTTCGTGTTTTGATCCCTGGACTGTTTTCTTGTTTATGATTGTTTTGCTGCCTGCCCTGACCATTGCCTGATTATCTGGATTACTCTTTTGCCTTGCCACTGCCATCGTTGTTTGCTGTTGTTGACCACGCCTGTTTGACTACGCTCTTATTAAAGCCTTGCATTTGGATCCCCACTTTGTCGTCACACCTCCCTCGTTACACATAGCATCCAGTGGCTTTGGTGCATTTCTCAGATCAGAAATTATATTCTCAAAACTACTTGTTCAGCCTCCACATCATCTAGTCACTTGTTCACGTCATAAAAGCAGTTTCTCATTCTTTTGAACAAGTTGTGATTGCTTTGGTGCATTCATGCAATTGATTATGTACATTTATCTGCGGTTTCCTACATTATCAGTTGCTATTGTCATGCTGCTCAAAATGTATAGTTCTCTTACCCCTCAAAACATCTAGTCATTAGTTCATGGTATAAGTCATTCAATGCAAAATGGTTGATCTAGTTGTCATAAACGGTCAAGCATATTTACTACACATTTCTATGAGACTTTTTGTAAATTTGCCATGAATTGTGCAGGTGAATTTTGACTTTCACTAATGAAGAGAATGTAGATCAACCCAGTAGGTCGATCGCGAAGGCAATGCTGGTTGATCGCACATCAAATGTATAGAAGCATGTAAGTATTCTGTGATATTCTGTGTTTCAGAGCAGCTCAAGCCGTTTGTGAAATACAGATTGAACGGCGGCTCAAAACTGCTGTATGAGCATATGATACTCAAACTAGCTCTCGGCTGGATAAAAGAAGCCAGTGTCACACTAGTAGCCTAAAGTTTTAATGGATGACGATTGTAATCAAGGTAAAGATGATTGCAGTGACATACAGGAGTCGTACATTAGGCGCGTGTGTGTCCATTATTACTGATGCAAACCAATCATGGTTTATATGCAGTGCTTTGGCATCTCTTGTGGTCTTGTTTGGTATTGCAGGTTGACTTAGTGCTTACAGTTTTTGTTAAAATTACTGTATAATTGAGCTTTATGTACGTAGCCTACTAAACTCATGCGGGACTTCCTCCGCGTCCATTTGCAAAACTCTCTGAAATACAGCAAAATATCACATTGTGTAGATCAATATACTGTAGGTCTGCTATACAGTAAAATTACATGTACAGTAAAAAGGTTATGTGTGCAGTACACAATACTACAGTCAGTGAACAAAATGTACCACCACATATTCACGCCGCAGGACTTTCACCCTGCCTGAATTTCTTTCAAATGACACTTTATACAGTTGTTTCATCAGAACTTGATGTTTTTTAAGCTCCCTCCTTGGTGTTCTCGACGTTCAATCCTATGTTGGCCAAACAAAATACATGTAGCTTACTGTAAAATGATACACAAATAGATACCAAAACTGTTGATGTAGTACATGCAGTAAGCTATGGATTTTCTGTTGACAGAAGATACGTTTCTCACCTGTGCTCTTGACGAAATGTCCGAACTATTGATGCCATCCCTCTTCCTCTACCTTGGCCTCTTCCTCCACCTTGTTCTCTCCAGATTCCCCCTCTCATCCGCACAGACAGGTGAACTTACCTGTTGCCTTCTTATAGTGCTTAAACCTGATTGGTGTGTCTACAATTAAGCACCAGTGTGTGTGCACACCTGGTGGCTGTGTTTAACCAATTGGTTCATGGGTGTGTTCATTTGAAAGCCTTTGCTTTGAAATTGCAAGGAAATGACATCATGATAAATTTCTGTGTCAAATGCATACAACTGTGTGTAATGTTTTGCAAAAAGTGTGAAGCTGACAATGTGCTTACAGTTGTGCAAACCTAGGCCGGTGTTTTGCTCCTTGAGTGTAAGGTTTTGGTAATTGTGGGAAAGTTTTAATTTTAGTGTGTAAGCAATTGAAAAAAACTGTAAGTTGTATAGAATATCTGCAGTGACATTTTTGCAAAGTATGTTTGCAAATAAATAACACGGAATGTTTGAATCTATCTGGAATTTGTTTCGTTTAAAAATAATTACATGTAATTGAAAAGTAATAACACTAGAATACAAAGGTTTTTTAGTGAATAGAAAAGGCTGAATTGATTTGGAGAGGAGGGGGACTTGGAGTAAAGAAGGTTGAGAAGCACTGCTTTAGGTAAACGCAGGCCCAGTTCTGCGGGGGTACTAAGAATTTAACATTATTTTTCATAAAAAAAAATTTAATTACTAATTAAATGAATGCAATATAAAGTTACATGCCAGCAAGCTTTTTATTTATTCATTTTAAATGTATTTTATTTATTTATTAAAATGTGAGTTTCTCATTTGAAAAGTAGATCCCCACACAAAAAAGTGTGGGCAGCCCTGATGTAGATCAACCAATGATAAACCAGTTCTCTGAAATAGCTCATACACTCCTGCATGCAAAGTGTTTGCTGTGTTTGCCTTTCTAATTTTCTGTTTTCGCCTTTGTACCTATATTTCTTTTTCTTTATCACAACGACGATGTAATGTGTGTGTGTATGTGTGTGAGTGTGTGTGTGTGTGTATGTGTGTGAGTGCGTGTGTGTATGTGTGTGAGTGTGTGTGTGTGTGTGTGTGTGTGTGAGTACTAGTGATCAAGCATGTGTTCTGTGTTCATGCAAATGTGTGAGTGTGCATAATGTGTGCACCTCCGTGAGTGAGGATTAGTGTGTGTGTGTGTGTGTGCGTCCAGCAGTGATTAGTCTGGTCAGTAGAGCTGTTGTGTATTCACTCAGGCCATTAGCATATTAATGCCCGTCTCTCTTGATCTCTCTCCCTTTCTTTCTTTCTGCTCTGTGTTGCTTTTTCAGTTCCATCTGCACGGATAGATTGTCACACTATACTTCTGATTTAAGTGTTTTTTCTTTTTAATGTCAGATTTTCACCTGGTTGACTGTTTAGATGAGACAGATTTCAGAGCTTCAGCTCACAGTGCCACTCCTTCACAGCAACACCCTTTTCACTTCATCTTTAGATATATCATTTTCAGTTAATGCCCTTTTTTCTCCCTCTAACTTCAAATGCTTAGTCAAAGCAAAGCAGAACTGTCTGGAGGCTGCTCTTTTACTGTGTAGGAGACTTAATTGAGTTAGTCATGGCTCATTTAATCATCAGTTTTGTCTTAGAGGTTTCCCCAAAATCTGGTTAAGACAAATAAAAACACAATACACAAACAAGGCAAAAATTAGTAGTACAGCACTAAAATACATGTCCAACTTTCTTGGCAAATCTGAGCACAGTTTGAAGCTTTGTTGATGTCTCTTCTGAAACTCTATAGAGCAGGATTCACCAGCTTTTAAAGTTGTACATTTGTGTGATTTATTTATTTATTTATTAAAGTAGGAGTGAAACATAGATTAAAACAATTAGAATTCATGTTAAACAATTGAGTTTGGGAGTGAATTGAAATAAGAAATATTGCCTGATAAATAATTGCGTTTTAGTTGTTTTAGCATATTTCAAAGCTTGTTTAGTCTTGTTTGAATTAATTTAAATCATTTTGAGTGGCTCCTGAAGCCCTGGTTAAGATCCACTGATCTAGAGGACGCACATCTCAAGAGAAACATCTGAGGAACAAGTGACTTTTCTCCCATTTAATCTCACCTGTCCTCTAAACTAAATAAACGTTTGAGATAAGGTCACCTTAATATCTGAATAATCTGAAGACCGGAGAGAAAACCGAACCAAATCACCAGAACTGAGCTGTCTTCTTCTCAAAATGCTCCTTTTGGAGATTTGAAGGACCACGAACCCTTAGATTGGTCCATTCTGGAGACGAGAGGGACGGTCAGGAGCATGATGTCCATCCACAACTCCTGCTTCACACAAGCACAAGAATTGCGTTTGGACAATCAGCACCAGAGCGTCAACATCAGACCAGACGCATGAACGGAGAAGAGAGGAGCAGAAGAGAAGCAGTGGTCTGCTCCTGCTGTGTGGGGGTCTTCATAAGCGATCGGCCGGACACAGTGGTCAGCGCTCCGGTCAGCTGTGCGTCACAGTAGGATCCTCATGGCTTAAGCGATCAAAGCACACAGCTTTAGATAATAGCAGCGGCCGACGGCAGCCTCTTAACCCATAACTCACACAGCCGCACAAAAGATCTGACATACATCAAACCATTCACTTTCTCTGGCTTCGACAGGCTGTAAATATAGTCTCCATGGAGTTTGACTAAACCCAAGCGGATCGATCTGTACCTCTCTCCCCGGCTTTGGAAAGAGAGTGTCCTCAGAC